TAAGAGATTTCTGGTGCTTAAGATGCCACCTGCTTGGCAATTTTACTCAACTCATTTGCCTTTTTTTTTTCTAAATCTTATGTTCCTTTTTGAGATACTGGTAATGTTAATAACAATTGTTACACCCATGGCTCAGCCGTTTTTGAGAAAAATATGTCTACCTCCCACCCCCTGTTTTCTAAGAGTTTCCCATTACTTGTTATGGATTCTTCTAACAACGTTCTTTGAATGCTGCATCAAGGGAGGCAACTTAGGCTTTTGTGATATTTAGTGTTTTATTGTTTTCCTGAAAGCTGAATGTAGCTCGATTACTAATCATTTGTAAACAAGTGGAAATTGTGAACTCTTCTAGCAACAGTTACTATTTTCATCACAGAGAGTGATGTGGGCTCTGGGATGTCACATTCCTTGCATATGCTAGAGGTGACAGTTTGACAGAGGTTTGCAAAAAGCCAAGAGCCTGACCATTCTCCTTTTTCTTCCAGTTATGGGCAAATTTAAAAGCAAGAGATTGAAATGAGTATTGTGGTTCTGAAATACACTGGTGTCTTGATAAAGCCTAACAATATAAATCTCTGATCATGAAAATAATGCTGTAAATTAAGTTTAAAAGTACTTCTTATGTAACTTTGACCTTTTCCCTTATAAATGTATGTGCTTTTGTCAGCTCATCTATACAGCCAACTGCAGGCTTCTGATGGTTACTCATTTTACTTGCTAATGACCTCAAAATCCTAAAGAACATCTTACAAACACTCAGAATTTCTGTATATGCAAATTAAAAGTAATTTTAACACTCAAGACAACAAAATAAGCTAGTAGATTGTCTACCACCACAATTATTCCTACATCATAGGTAATGTGCTTCTCAGATAGAGAAACTCAAAATGCTAATTTCCCTAAGGTAAATATGCATGATTTCATTTGGGGGAAATTGAATTGGAGAAAGACTATGACTCAGTCTTGAATTTTGCTATGCCTCATTGTCACCCAGTTGCTCCATAATCACCTCAAATTCCATTTAGCCAAGTCTGAACTGGGTATTTTTCTATTTCTATGAATATTACAGCTTTTCTGTGAGTTTCCTAAGTGCAGAATTTGAGTTCTCTGTCTTCTTTATTTCCCAAACTTCTTTGATACCATACCCTGTCACTTCTTTCTTTCCATAGCTATAGGATTAGGGATTGTCACACAGCTCTCACCTCATTCCATGCATTTATCATTTCCATTTTTTCCAATTAGCCTAAACATATGCACTGAACATCTACCATGTGCGAGGCATACACTAGGGCCTGAGGATAGAGTGGTGAGCAATGAAGGATGTGGTTGTTACCCATATGGTTTAGTGAGGAAGACAGACATTAAGAAGCATACAGAAACACATGTAAAGCTGCAGCTGTGACAAGCACCATGATGAAGAGGTACATGGTGTCATAGCAATCTTGAGTAGATTCACTTGAGCCTGTTATGGAGGTCAGGGAAGGAGTTGAGATCTGAAGGATGGGTCGAAGTTAATCAAATGAAGAAATATGGGAAAACCTTTTACATAGGGGCAGGAGCACACATAATGCTTTTGTGCAGCAAGGAGAATACTAAGCACTGGAGGACTAGAAAGAGTCTGGGGTGAAAGCTTAGATGACGGGGATGGACTAGCACAAACCGAGACTAGAGGGGTAGACAGAGATGAAACCACACGTAGCTTTATAGGCCCTGTTAAGAAAAACTTTGTTTTTATCCTATAAGTAAGATAAAAGCCACTAAAGGGATCTGAGTGTGTGTGAGTTTGTGTGTGTGTGTGTGTGTGAGAGAGAGAGAGAGATACAGAGACAGAGAGGAAGAGAGAGACAGATAGAGAGAGATAGAGAGAGACAAGAGACACAAGGAGAGAGACAGAGACCCAAAGAGAGAGAGGATCAGATTTGCATTTCAAAATGATCATTCTGGTTGCATTATGGAAAAGATTAGAGGGGATCCTAGAGTAGTTGCAGACAGTTCGATTAGGAGGCTACTTTAGTAGTCCAGGTGAGAGATAGTCAGCATAGTAAATAATGGAGATGAAGAGAAATTGATCGAGTCAACAGATGCTAAGTAGATGAGAACCAGAGGACATGGGTTGAAATGGCAAGAGAGTGAGAGAATGGAGAAGACAGATAGAGAGGGCTTTGCTTGCATAACTGAATGTATGGAAGTGCTATTCAGTGAAGGAATATGAGAGGACCCAGTTTGGAGAGAAGATAATGCATTCAAGTTGAGGTATGTTGAATTTGAGATACTAGTGGGCTATCCAAAAGATGATGTAAAGTAAGCAATTACTTTAATTCAAATGTAGACCTCAGAACAGAGATCTGGTCTAGAGAGAGAACTTTGAGATTCATATGTGTAGAGTGTAAACTGAAGCCCTAAGTGTGAAGAAACTATGGAATGAGAAAGAAAGAAAGAAGGGCTGGGGCAAAGCTTTGGCCAGGCAAATTAGGATGAGTCTGCAAACATGGTGGAGAAGTAGTCAGGGAAGTGTGGATAGCCAGTCTAGATCAACTTTCTTTAAAAAATTTTTGGGTGGAATGTGGAGGAGAGAGGTGGAGAAGTGCCTGCAGAGGGAGGCAGGGTTTTTACTTTTACTGCAAGAGACTGGAATATGTTTAAATCAGGAGGGAATGGCTCATTAGGGAAAGGAGAGGGACAATTTCTGAAATGGCAGGAGGGACAGGATCTAAAACACTGTTGAGTTTCAATCTGATGATTTTGATTACTCTTTCCTTTGAAGTAGGAGGCATGATTATCTGATAAACATGTGGGGACAGAGTTTGGTAATGGGAGTTTGAAAATGTTATTACCAAATAGGACCTTCCTAAGTTGACCAGGGAAAAGTAGCTGGGCAGTGTGAAAGGCTCATTTGAGCTTGCAGATCATGACTTTAGAGAAATACACTTTTCCTCCTGAATGACTGTGTCCAACAGTGCCTCATTGCTCAAGAGCGGGTTTGGAGGAGAAGGACAGCAGGGCTGGCCCAGTGTTGGTGGCGGGGGTGGGGGGGGCAGTGGGGACAGAGGTTTCTACCAGCCTCCTAAAGCATCTCTTTGCTTTCAGTTCCTCCCATTCCTACCCATCTTGGACACCTCCATGACATTTAATTTCCTTTGTCAACTCATTCTCCTTGCTTAAGAATCTGCACTCTTCCATATGGCATAGTGATTTTAGAGCACAGATGATAAACCTTGGTTTGAATTACAAGTGTGAACTTGAGCAATTCATGTGAAGCTTCTGACAGTCCATTTTTTCAACTCTAAAATAATGAGGATTGTAATAGTTACTTACTGTATAGGTTGTTGGGTGGGTTAAATGTGACAGCATGCAACATCGGGCTTAGATTGTGGTAAGTGTTCAACCCACGAAAGCACCTGTATTACCTGCCCTTTAGGTCTCATTCTAATCTGTTGTTCTTTCTTATCCCTACTCAGCACACTGCCTCTTACTCCCAACTGGACTGATCTTTTACTGCCTCCACGTTCACTGCCATGTGTTTTCGCCTTCTCTACTTACATCCCATAATTTCTCAATGGCACACATCTTCTAAGAGAAAGCCTCCTTATTACCTTGAAGCCAGTTTTGCTCATTCACTGCATTGAGCTTCCATTGTACTTTGGAGATATTTGGAACCTGGTTATATTCCATTGTTCACTTTATTATCAACTTAATTATTACTTTATCATTGGGTTGTTAAAATATTATCTTTCGTTTGAAAATATTTCAGTAATATAAAACTTTCCCAATAATAGTATGAGTTCTTTGAGGGAAAGAATCATGCTATAAATCTTTTTATTTCTCATAGGACTTACAATAGTATTGACAATATTTGTGAAATTTAATTTACTTGAATGGAGGCATACGCTAGGCTCTAGTGCCCTTCAAAACAGGGTGCACAGTCAATATCTTAGAGCGCAGGAAAAATATTGCAACTGCTATTTGTACTTATTCTGTGACATCCCTTTGAAATTTCTATCTTTGTGTATGCTTCTAATGTACAGAATGTAAATTTATAATGCACACATGGATACATTATATATCTATATCTATATATGCAAAATGGTGCGTGTTCAAGATATTTCAATCTTGAGGTTCCAGATAAAACATTTTAAATCTATAGTATTTAAATGAGCAATAGAAATTTCACCAAGTCAGTCAGGCCCAAGTGCTGGTGCACACCCACAATTCCAGCACTCTGGAAGCTGAAGCAGAAAGATTATGAGTTTGAGGCCAGGCTGGGCTACATAACTAAATCCCATCTCAAAAAAAAAAGAGAAGAAGATAAAGAAAGAAATTCGACCAAATCAAAGTCAGATTAACTACATTTTTGTGCATTTACTGTGTGCCAGGTGCACACAGTAGACATTCGACACACATTAACTTACTTAAGGCTCACAATAATTTTGTAAGTTAGGTGGTATTTTAATTCTTACATTACAGAGGAGGATACTGAAGGACAAAGAGATTTGTGACTAGTCCAAAGTAATAATAAACAAGTGATGAAGACAGGATTTAAAACTGCATCTATTTGAATCTAAAGTTGATCTTTTTTGGAAGTTTTTAAACTACGCACTTCAATTTCTTTAATAGATACAGAGGTAATCAAGTTCCCTGTTTTTCTTAAGCGAATTTTGATAGGCATGTCTTTCAAAGTCTTGGTCCTTTTCCCATAGCGAATTATCCTAATCAGTGTACCACTCTAGTATGCATCCCTCTTTTAGGAGTACCTACATCTTTTGTGGAGATACTGTGCAATGGATGCCCTCCTACTATTTATTTAACCAGGGTATTATGAGAACCATACAGTGATTCTACAAAGTAGAGAATCATCTTAAGAAAAATTAAGTAATCAAGTGCCTTGATTATATCTGTGATACTCAACTCTCTTAAAAATGAAATCATAGAGCTCTTTTTAAAAGAATTGTCTCTGATTTCTAAGACTCAATCCAAGTAACACATCCTTTTTGATTTTTCAGTTGTTTTTGAAAATATGACAGTTCAAGAAAGAAGTACAACTCTTTCACAGCAAATAGATTTGACAATTCCCTCCCAAATCACTGGACTGAAACCACAAGAGACTATACATTCCTCTACAGTGATGTCAAAAAGCATGCCTGTGTTCGTAACTGATTACACAACCATATCATATTCCAATACAATATCTCCACCTCTGGCTACAATGACTGTATCAAAAATTTTAAACACATCCTTATCTGGGACAGCTACATTTGCAGATATCTTGTCTACTTCAATAGCCACCACTTTGCCTACCCAGAGTACATCCATACATGCTACCACTGGTTCCATGAAAATAACTAAATACCCATCTTCAGAGAGCACAAGGACAACAAAAATGGTGGAAGCCATAGCTACTGAGAAATTTCATCCAACTACAGCTACTAATTTCTTTTCCACGTCAGGATTTATCAAAAATTCCTTTGTATCTAAAACTTCAGCAACCGAATCTCAGTCAGCCATTATGAAGACAACTTTATTCTCAACTACTGAGTCAACATCCAATTCTACAACATCTTGGCCAAAACACAAATCCACAGATTTTGCAGCACTCTCTATCTCCGCATCTGCACAGGAATATCTTATAGCTACAGCTGTGAGCACTGTACCTTGGTCCACAGTAGAAGAAACTACAGCTATAACTACTGGGACTGGGAGTTCATCAGCCTTCACGCCTGAGTCTCTGCTCACCTCCACAGCTGCTCCCATGAATTCTGAAGTTCCTAGAAATCAGACATCGTCAACACTGGCTACGCCTGATATGGAAGTAACATTTACAGTTCATTCAGTGAGGCCTATTGAGACCACGCCTGTCCTAAGAACAGCAGAAACAGAATTGGCATCTCCAAAATTCCAGGGTGTCTCTTTGCCCAGCATGGAGGATGCCATGTCTACTTCCATGCCCAAAGAGACCTCTTCCATGGCCCTTTATCCCATGACTTCCTCTATAGTCATTGGAACTCAGAGTGTACAGATGGTTACTGATGCTGAGAGTACACATACAGCCTTAACTCCTGGAATCACACTTGCACCTACAGTGGCCGAAACTATGCTCTCCCCCACAAGTGCAAGGCCTGTGTGTACCCAGAATACACCCACAGCTGGTGATCATATGCTTACTCTGACTCCCACTAAATCAGCTTCCACACCTGAGGCATCTGAATCAGTTCCTGCATCTGTAACTGATGAAACAGCCCATTGGTTCTCCACCAACAAGACCACTTGGACTTCTAGGCCAGGCCAGACCCTACTGACATCTACTAATTCGCCTACCATACTTACAGTTGTACCTAATGAAAATTTCACATCAGCATTTCATGACAATACTACTAACACAGAAATTTCATCCACAGGTATTAATATCGCCCCACCAGAAGCATCCACAGAGAGCAAGGCTACCGCCAGCACTGATGCTACTGCAGCCAGATATACAACCGCTCTATTCAAATCGACATCTCCACAGTTTGCTGACTTCTCCAGTGTTTCTGAAACCACATCTGTCACCAGTCTGCCTGAGTTTAAAGTCACCACCTTACTACTGAAAACTATCCCTGTGTCCACAGTAGCTGTAAGTGAACATTCTCTAATACCGAGGGAGACAGTTGTTCCATCAGTAGCTACCACTGCTGATATGAAACGAAATCTTTCAACTGAAGAGAGCACTTCTGAGACCACACAAGCAGAAACAAATGGTACAAGCACATCTGTTGATACAACGACCCCTGTACCAAAGACTGCAACAACACCAAGAGTCAATGCCACTGTGATGAGAAAAGAAACAACTTCCCATCATCTTGGGGAAACATCAACGATAGCAACAGTAGCTGAGGCTTCTCCATTTTCAGCAGTGCTGGAAGAAGCAACAGATGAATCATCACAAACAGCTTCTGTCACCTTTTCTCCTTTTCCTGATACAGAAAAATTAACAACCACATTGGATAATAAAATTGTAACTTCTGAGATGGGATGGAGTTGGTTTTCGACAAAACTGATGAAAAGTACACCTAAGAATTCATACAATGGAACTACAGAAATATTGAATTCCACCCATACCTATACCACACCTTGGACTTCAGAGACACCTGAGGGAAATTCAACTCCATCTCCCACTTCTGGGAGTACTCAGACATTCAATCCCCTGGGTGCTTCCACCACAAGCATATTGGAAACTAGTTTCAGCACTGCTCCTACAGACAGAACAGCTATGTCCTTGTCTGCCAGTATCTTGCCTGCACAGACTACAGCTCTGCATTTCTCAGCAACCACTACTCCTGTTACCCATACAGTCTCACCACCAAATAATATCTCTGTGGTCACCTCTGTGGTGGTGTCTGATGAGAATAAGGTGACCACGCCAGAGCCTTCTACTGTGGCCATCGATTTCTCCACATCTGTGCTCTCAGATGTTTCCACTCTGTCATCAGCTACAATGACCACAGCATCAGGAACACCACTGGGCAAAACAGCTTCCACAACTAGCAATACCTTGTCTACCCACAGAGACTCACTTTATACCACTTCAGAGGCCACAGTGATCTCTGCCACAATGACATTCACAGCAGCTCCCTCACTGAAAAAAACTCTGGTACCCTCCCTGAGACCCCTCACTCCTATGACAACAAAGGCTAAGTCCACCCTTCCTTCCACCTCAACTGGAACAGTAACTCCATCCATACACACTCTTCTCTGCTCAAAACCGCCCCCTGACAACATTCCTATCGTGACCTCTGCTCATGTGATCTCAACTACAGCTACACCAGTAGCAACTCAACCCGTATCGCAAGTGGAGGAGACTTCTACCCCTGCTCTTAGCTTTCCGTATACTTCCAGTGGTGGAGAAGATGTTGTTAGCTTAGCTACCGGCACCACACAGACCTCTACTGTTGATGCGACCATGCCCTCACACACCTCAGCCAACAAGCTTGCTACCTTAGGAGGCATTCACATTTCTCCATCTTCCAAACTTCCTGTAAACACACAGGTCTCCACCCAACTGGTGACTGGCACCTCTACTTCATCTTCTGACAAAGAGCAGATGACCATCTCTCTGGGGAAAACCCCTCGAACTATGCAAGTGACAGAAATTTCTCCATCCAAGGATTCTTTCATTTCCTACTCTCAGACCACTTCAGACTTGGAAATGACAGATATGGGATTCTCTGAGACCACAGAAATTTCCAACCACCAAACACATTTATCTACAGAGATTCCACTTGGGACTTCACCTGATGGAAATTCAGCTGTACCTTCCACTTCTGCGAGCACACAGAGTATACATATCTTGACCTCAAGTAACACAGTGGATGTTCATATTTCAGAAATGTCTACCAGTCTTGAGAAAACATCTCTCCCTTCACAGGCTCTGACAATAACGAAAATTTTACCTCCTGAAAAAGAAAGTGCAAGTGTCCTTTCAGTGTCCTTGGAAAGTGTTAGTTGTGGAAAGTGTCCTTTCCACACTCCCAAGAGTGTGGAAATGATAGTAAGTTCCTCCTCTGTGACTCACCCTGTCTCCACTGTCCAGGATACTTCATTTGCAAATATCACAACCTCAAGAACAACCATCAGCACAAGTCTTTCACACTTGTCTTCACTTAAGACTCAACCTGAGGTGACTTCAGTTGCTTCTTCCATTTCTGAAAGCACTCAGGCTTTCCCTAAGTCCCTGATGCCTTCCACAACTGGACTATCTAATGCCAATTTTACAGTTAACTCTAATGATGGGATCACTACAGCTGTTTCTGTTCCAAATGCACCTACAACACTCTCTGGGGAAACCTCTTTGGAAACGTCAATTCCTATTTACAAGATGTCTCCATCACCAGTTAATGTCACTGCCTTCGCCTCCAAAAATGTTTCCACTACTCCCACAATACTAATAACTAAACCTTCTAAAACAACACGGCCAGGTTGTTTGAAAAGTCCCTCTGTAGCTACCTCTGGGCCTTTGTCTGAGATGTCCTCAATGCCAGTTAATGACTCTGCTTTTTCACCTACAGTGGTTTCTTCTGACACTTCCAGGGAAGTTGGGTCATTTTCTACTTTATTGTCTTCAACTACCCCCAGGACTACCATGAACATACAAACATCTACATTGGCTGTCACACCTGTGACATATGCTGGGCCTACTTCCAAAAAAAGTTCAGTGATTTCCTCTGCTTTCACTAACTCAGAAATGACAAACATGTCTTCCAAGATCACACCTACATCTGTTTTTGCTCCAACAGAACCAACTTTTCCATCCACAAAAACCATTTCAACCATGGCTAGGGTAGTGACTTCAGATGTAGGTACCACTGCCTCCTCTCTACTCAATTCTAAGAACACTGAAGCTATTTCATCCATTCCAAAGACCACATTTTCTCCATTACCATCAACAACCCAGCTATCATTGCGAGACGAGACTACAACTCCAAGCATATTACCTGGCATTACTAACAGCTCCTTTTCTACTATGAGCAGCGGTAAAGTGACAGATTTCACAAATACTTATTCCAGAACTGCTGTCCCTGAAAGTGGGCTTTCACCTACTCCTTCAGATAATGCTCATACTTCCCTGGCTACTCAGGTTTCTCCATCTTTGACCAGCTTAAAGCGCACTCCTGGACCCACAGAAAATGTAAAAGCCATCACTGCGTACCTTTCCTCTCATACCAAAAAGATGACTTCCTCATCAGAAAATACTTTCTTAACAACTGAGTTAACAAAAAGTGCCACATCTGTGAATACTTCTGCTTTATACTCTCCATGGACCCCATCCAGTACAACTACACTCTCTTTGACATCACTTCTTCATTCACTTCATAGTACAGAAGCCAAGTTCTCTACTCCAAAGCTCTCCCCTCCTCCTACATCCCAAATGGTTGAATTTCCAGTTCTGGGAACAAGAATTACATCTAGTAATACTCAGTCTCTGCTTACAACTTCCTGGAACACACCCACCATGACTCGTGTACCCACACCCAACAAGATGGAAACAGAGACTCTACACCTTATTCCTGGGTCTTTGTCAACATTTGCAGCTTCTCAGACTGGTCTAGTTTCTAGAGGTGTTATGGCAACATCATCATTTCCTACACCAGAAATTCTTCCTTCCTTTGGGCCTTCTGAGAGCCGTTCATCATCAATATCTTCAAGAGTTCTCTCTACCACTTTGGCTGACATTAAGCACCCATTTGAGAAAAAATCCACATTTGTAACCCCTGGAACCACCCTCCTATCAAGTCCTCCTACAGTTTCCAAGGCTGCTACTTCACCTATGCTGACTTGGATATTATCTAGTCTCCCTTCAGGCTCCCCCCTGACAATGGGATCTAATGCTTCTCCTGCTCCAACATCCTCTATAGTAAAGGTGTCAAAATCCACATTTTTAACTTCGGACACGATACCAACATACCCATTCACTAACTTTGCCACACTACCCTTTGCTACAGGAAGCACCATACTCACCAAAACCCCTCCTGTATCTACACTAGGCAGTATCACTTCTGGCTCCCCAACTTCTCTCCCTATATCTACAAAAACCGCAGATGCCACTGTACACATTTTTGCATCCCCTGAGGCATCCTCCAGAACCACCATGACTGACAATTCCAGGACTGTGTCTCAATCTCTGACCTATAGTGGAATGAGTGCATCACCTTCTACAACTGACCACGCCCACACGATATCTGTTGGTTCCACACCACCACCACCTAGCCCTACAAAAATGACTGCATGGAGCAGATTTCCAGCTGCATCAGCATCCTCTGCTTTAATTCCTCCTAAGCCCACCCTGGACTCCCTTATAAATACAATCACTACTAAACCCACTGCTACTGGAGCCTCAATTCCACTCATATCCACTGAGGTGACACATCCTACAGCAACTGTGTCTTCACTAATCTCTTCCTCTTTTGAGACAACCTGGCCGGACTCCACATCTTCCATCCCATCTACAGAATCATTCACTTCACCAACTGCTGCCAGATCCCCAGGTATAGTTCCTTTTATCCCTAATAGAATTTGTGGACAATGGGTCATGTCTTTTCCAAGGTGGCCAATTCTCTGAAGGCAGAAAAGGATGAGGAAGGGTGCGCCCTTCTTCAGATAGTGAGTACAATGGGTACCTTACTAAGACACAGAATTTTCTAGCAAATTTTCTCATCTTCATTGAAATTTATCTTTTCACCCAGTATGGCATTTTGAAGTCCCCTCTCCACTTGTTTTATTCTTGATGTCCTGACTGATTCTTCATAGACACACCTACCTAGTAAAAAGATCATGTGACCTTAGGACTGTCATCTTAGTCACACACCAGAAAACAGTAGAAGATACACTATCTTGTCTTTTGAATTCTTCTCATGCAAGTTTCAGCCTTCTCCAATCCCTACATCCAGCAGCTAGAAATACTTAGCCATAGCTAGGGTGTATTTGGCTTCCATATTGCTCAAATTTTGAATGTTCTTGCAACTTTTAACACTCAAAAGTAAAAATATGACAGTACATGCAAGATCAAGAGGGGCATAAGGAGAGAAAACCCTAAGGCAGAAAGAAATGCATAGGGGGAAAACAGTTATTTTCTCAAGGTATATGCTTGGATGAGATAATGCTTGTCTTGGGCATTGAATGGACTAGAAATCTGTTGGTCATTGAAAGTGGAGAATTTAGGAGATTTGTTGCATGTCTATCAACTGTATAGAAATCAGGGAAATGCCCAAATAAAGTAAAAATGGGATGATAACGTCTTTCATGTTTTGCTTTTGGATATGGAGCCAAAAGTGCTTTTAATATTGGAGTTAAACTAAGTCAAGTTTAGGAATGTGAAATCATTGTTTTGTTTGCTTTAAAATGGAGTGTACTTTTGATCAAATCTACAGAATTCAAATTTCTTTGATGTAAACGAGTAAAATTAACCTGCTTATTTTTAATTACAGTTTCCTTCTACAATATTGAAATGAGCTTGTCTATCTCTGAAGAAGAGCCAAAGGTTCCTATTACCAGTGTTATAAATGAATTTGCAAGAAATTGGGTAAAATAATCTTTTGAATATTTATTGTACATAGAAGTATATAGGCAAGTAGATTAAAACTAGACTTTACTTTTTCTCCTACTGATAATCCATTTGACATATACAGTTTTGATTTTTTTCACTGCAAATCTATCTACTCTGTAAGCAACACTCTGAAGATCTATGCAAGCTCTATTTCATAGTACCCGTCCTAAAAGCTTTTATGGAATGTTATTATTTTCATTTTTGAGATCTGTACATTTTCCTCCACTGATACAAATTCTGAGTCATTGCCAAATTTTCCTATTTGGGGAAAATAGGAGAGCAGTGATAACAAAGTCTAGCCATTGTATTTAAGTATCTTTGTTCTCTGCATTTTTAACTTTTCTCTATCTCTAACGCACTGAATGTTTTAGTTATCCTTACATATTTCTGATGATGAGACTAATAACACTCCGTAAAAATGTCACACATTCACATCTAACACAGAAAGTGCATGTCATCTACCGCTTTTACTTGCAAACTGCTTTAAATAATTTAAGGTATGTTCTTTTATATTTTTCTATACAAATTATAACATTGTGTTTTTCACAAAAGTAGCTGCATTCCCCAGCATTAATGCTACTCTCCAACTTGCTCTCCTTCCCGCTTACCCATGTATTTTTTTTTGTGGTGCTGGAGGTAGAACCCAGGGCTTGCGCAGGCTAACCGAGCACTCTCCCAATGAACTGTATCTCCAGCCCTTAAACATGTACCTTTGAAAACGTATTCATGATGATAAGTATCTCTTTCCCATACATGTTAACTTATTCATACGGTTTCACTATATGGTTGTAACTTAAAGTTTTGTTTTTAAATCCAGACATCCATTGATGGACATTTAGGTTTTTTCCCTCTATTTTTAAACATATCTGAAAACAATATTCTTGCTATATTATTATTTTGGAACACTCAAATATTTCTAGGGGAGAAATTCCTGGAATTGAAATTGTTGGATCAAAAGTTGTGAACATTTTGCATTTTAAGAGCTTTCTCTAAATGGCCTCCCAGATACCAACTTGTACCTTCCACCCAACAGTGGTTGCTCATATGGGCTTCCCTTCAACTCATCCGCACTTATTTTAGACGACATATGACATGACTGTAGGTGCTTGACGGTGGGTGAGTGTATCAGTCTGCTTAGGCTGACTTAGGAAAATACACAGATGGATGAAAAAAAAAAAAAAACCAGGCATTTTCTCACAGTTCTGTGAGGAGAGGTGAAAGATCAAGATAAAGGTGCTGGCAGGATGGGTTTTGGTGAGGTCTCTCATTGGGAGCTTGAAGATGGCTACCTTCTTGCTGTGTCTTCACATGGTATCTCCTCTGTGTGTGTACATGCGCCTCTGGTCTCTCTCTTCCTATAAGGACATCAATTACATTGGATCAAGGCCCCACCTTGTGACCTAGTTATTTAACCTTAATTACCTCCCGAATGACCCTATCTTCAAATATAATCAAATTGGGGGCTAGGGTTTCAACATTTGAATTTGAGTGTGTGTATTGGGGAGTGGGCAACCTAGCCCGTAATAAGGTGCAAGATGTAAATTGAAACACTGAGTAGAGCAGAAGGAAATAAATGTTGAGCCTGCTGAAATAATGAATGCAGCTTAAAGATCACATTGTCCCAGGTGACTGTGCTGTGTTAAAATGGGAGAGTGGGAATAGAAAAATTGATTTTCTTTTTTCTTTGCTTTTATCTTTTACAGTTGAATTCTGTATTTCAGCACAGTGAATTTTCTCTTGCTAATCTGGCTATTCAAATTAATGGCAGGTAAGTGAATGCCATTTGTGGTTCAAATGGCAATTTGAGGGCATTATGGTCTGTTCCTATCCAGAACGGTTTCTGGTTGTTTATGTCTGAGATTTAGGGGCTGCTTCCCATTTAGGGGAGTTGCATCTTTCCTTCTGAGCATAAGTTCTCTTTGGAAAGAAGATGAAATTTGTCTTACTTTAGGGTGTAAAGTCAATGGAAGAACAAAACATAAAAAATAAGTAGAGGAAGTAATGAATAACAATCTACTCTTAAGACAATGAATCCAATCCCATGATAGTGAGAACTCACTCACATGAGAAAGTCCATTTATGAGCCCTCTGCCCCCATGACCCAGACACCTCTCACTAGTCTCCACCTCTCAACACTGCCACATAGGAGGACTGACTGACCTCAACATGTGACTGCCTATCTCCTATATGCTGGGCCTTTCATTTCTTTTACGTGTTCAAATATAAATAGGTTAAACAGGTTCATGTGAATGAAAGGAAGGAAATCCATTGATTGTCTCAGTCAGTTTGTAGTACTATAACAAAAATATTATAGACTGGGTGGCTTAAACCAAGAAATTTATTTCTCACAGTTCTGGAGGCTGGAAATCAGCATGATCTGGTCCTGATGAAGGTCACCCTGTCGTGTCCCCACATAGCAGAAAACAGAAAGCAGGAAGCTCTCCTATCTGTGCTATCCACTCTAATCCTGCTCACAAGGGTTCTTCCCTCATTACCAAATACCTCTCAAAGATCAAGCCTTCTAACATTCCCTGCACAAGCTTTTACATATGAATTTCATATGTGGGTTGCTATTCAACCCACAGCAGATATTAAAAGAAACTTGGAGATATTTAGTGTATACAATATTTTAAAACTGTGTATTGTCTTTCCTTATTGCAAAAGTAATATGTGGTCACTATAAAATCTTAGTGTTTTGTAGGAATCTATGAAAGGGATAGTCAAAATCTCTGAATGACTTTCCTTTCCCCATTCCTTCATGGTCTCCTGTGGACAGCTTGTTTTACATATTTCTCTAGATTTTCTTTATGCATTTACTAAGAGAATGAGTTCCTACTCTGTATACTGCTTAATGACTTTTGCTTCTTGCTTTATAATACATCATGTACTTCTTTTCAGGACAATACATGAAAATCTGGCTAATTCATTTTAATAATTGCATAAGATTATTTTGCATGGACATGCCATTATGTTTATTCAACTGTCTGGTGAGGGATAATTGAGCAAATCTTACCATCATGTATGTGTGTGTGTGTGTGTGTGTGTG